CGCCCCATCATTCTCCCAGAAAAGCAATGGAAAAAAATTTCCTTGGGTGAAGATTTTTTTAAAAGTGAAGGAGATATGCTTTCTCAAATAAAAACTGAGAGGATCTGTTGCCAGTCAGCCTGCCTTGAAAGAAATGTTAAATTCTTCAGTGAGAAGGAAAACGATACAGATCAAAAACTCAGGCTACAAAAGAAAGGAAGAGCATTAAACAAGGAATGAGTGAAAGTAAAATAAAATTTTTAATTTTTTAAAAATTGATTTCAGAGAGAGGAGAGAGACAGCTATTTGCTGTCCCACTTACTTGCACTCATTGGTTGATTCTTGTATGTGCTGACTGGGTAACAAACCCACAACCTTGGCGTATCAGGACCGTGCTCTAACCAACTGAGCTAGCAGACCAGGGTCTAATTTTCTGTACTCTTAATTGATCTAACAGATAACTGTTCAAAATAATAATAGCAACAATGTATTAAATGGACATAATTTATATGTGAAGTAAACAACAGCAATGATACAAGGGACAGGAGGAAGAAATTAAATTAGGATTATTTTGTTATTATAAGGTACTTGTACTAACTCTAGGGCAACCACTAAGGCAAAGTTTAATTGATATGCTAAGAAGGGGGAAAAAAATGGAACCAGATAAAATGCTCAATTAAAGCCACCAAAGGCAGAAATAGAAAACAAAAAACAAGGGCAACAAACAAAGCAGTAACAGGCATGGTAAACATTAATCCAACTACATAATCACTTTAAACATCAATAGTCTATACCAATTAAAAGAGATTGTCAGAGTGGATAAAAAATCAAGACCCAACCATATATTGTCTACCAAAAACCTATTTTAAATTTTAATGAAGACATATAGATTAAAAGTAAAGGAATGGTGAAAGCTATCCCCATGTCAACAGTAATCAAAAGAAGGCTGGAGTAGCTCCATTAATTTCAGACAGCCAACTTCAGAGCAAGGAAAGTTATCAGGTAAATTGATCCCTTAATGATTACCTAAGGGATCAATTCTGGAAGAAGACGCAATAGTCCTTCATACATACGTATGCATCTTAAAACAGAGCATCAAAATACATGAGGCAAAAATTGATAGAACTGCAAGGAGAAACTGATGAATCCACTACTACAGTTGGAAAGCTCCACATCCTTCTATCATAAATGGACAGACCTAACAGAAAATCAGTAAGGATAGTTACACTCAATAATGCCATCAATCAACTGGATATAAAGAACATGTATAGACTGCTACAAGAGCAGAAAATACATTTCCCACGGAACATTCACCAACACAGACCACATTCTGGACCATAAAACACACCTTAACAAGTTGAAAACAAGAGAAATCACACACTGTGTGATGCTCTCAGATCACAATGGAATTAAAATAGAAATCAATACCAGAAAAATAGCTGGGCTACCCCCAAATACCTGAAGACTAAACAACACGCTTCTAAACACACTGGTCAAAGAAATCTCAAATTTTAAAAAATATTTTGAACTGAATGAAAATAAAAATACTTTATCAAAATTTGTGGGGTGTAGCAAAAGCAATAATTAGAGACAAATATATAGCATTGAATGCATATATTAGAAAAGAACAAATATCTATAATCAAAGATTATATCTAAAACTAAGGATTTAGGAGGGAGGAAACCATGGTTTAAGCCAGGGGTGGGGAACCTTTTTTCTGCAAACAGCCATTTGATTTTTATAACATCACTCACAGGCCATATGAAATTATCAACTTAAAAATTAGCTACGAAAAAAGCTCCTAGATTTACTGAATTTCGTTCCTGCCTGCATTTGCCTTGACAGGGCCAGACCAAATGAGTTCACAGGCCATATTCGACCCACAGACCGGACGTTCCCCAATTCTCTCACCAATGGTTCCATAAAAAAACCCAGGGTAAAGGAGAAACGGCCTTTCGTGGAATCTGAAGAGATGCCCAACGTCATTTATCTCAGACCCCCAAGATCCCTTCCAGTCACTGATTGCACTTTAAGCCTAGAGCCACCAGATGGAGCCCATGCTCAACTCAAAAAACACCAAGGCCTTGGAGGGTTGGCATTCTAGAGCCTCCCTCCCTCAGCCTCTCAGATCTTGCCCTCTCCCAGATTATTTCCCTCCCCACCACTCCACCACTCTGGGCACAGCTTTCTCTGTCATCTTCGTTTCTTTCGGTCTCCCTGTCTCCTTTTCCCAGCCTATAAGCTTCCTCATCCTCAAGAACAAAGAGGAAGAAAATCCTAAGTGTGAGGGGGGACACCAACCTGCCCTGGCTGGCATGGCTCCGTGGTCAGAGCACACTGGAGAGTCACGGGTTTGATTCCTGGTCAAGGGCACATACCTGGGTTGGAGGTTCGTACCTTTGATCCCTGCCCCTGGTCGGGGTAACATGGCGGAGGCAACCAATCAATGTGTGTCTCTCACATTTATAAGTTTTTCTCTCTCCCCCTCTCCCATCCCTTCCACTCTCTCTAAAAAAAATCAATGTGAGATTGATTTATAAAGGATCTATAAAGTTATATATAAAGGATCTGCACTGGCACCGCAATTATTGGAAGACAAATGATATATGATGCTCCTCCAAGTGCTGTAAAATAGCTTATCCTCATAAATATGCTAGAAAGCCATTAAATTGTACTCTTTAAAGAAATGAACCAATTTATTATATATAAATTATATCTCAATAAAGCTGTTTTTAACAAAACCAGCTTACCCCAAACTGAAACATTCCTCTCAACAAATCTTTATACCAGTTTATAATACCATTTTCATACACAAGTCCCTTTTGCAGAGAGGGAAATGTTACTTTCATATAGCCCCATCTATAAATTATAATTCTGAATTAGTAGAGTCCAAGAATTATATTGCTTTTCTATTCATATGGCTTTTAGTGTCAATTTTACATGTTCTAGTCAAGGCTGATAATGAGTCAACCAGTACAGCACAAGGAATGAGAAAGCTATGCCCAGGAAATATACAGGAAATACTTACTGGAAATATAAGGAGTTGTCACGCACCACTACTCAAAATCCGTTAAAGATCCTCGCTCTCAGAATGAAGTCCAAACTCCCCCAACATGGCCTGAATAGTCCTTCACGATCTGGCCTATTTCTTCAGCCTCATCTTCAAACTCTGCAGCAGCTCTACACTCTTGCAGACCCACAACCCTTGCACTCTGTCTTTCCCTGTGGGCTTTTACTAGCTTGATTGGTAACTCCTTGGTAATTCCTCCTTTTTTCTTCAAATCCCACCTTGGACAATACCTCCTCCTGGAAGCTCCTGCAGTACCCTCCTTCCCCAAACCTCAAGCCAGAAGAGGGCCTTCCTTGCTCCCAAGGTCTGCTGTATTGGTCCCATCACAGCACTTACCACCCTGCACTCAAGTTTTATTTGCTCATTTTGTCTCTCCAACGTTTCTTATTCAGCACTGTGTTCTTAGAACCCACAGGAAGCCTAGCATATAACTAATGCTTAAAGTTTGATGAATGGCCGGATGAACCCCCTAATTACCAAATGGCTGGTCAGCCCTTTGGCACTAACCATTAACAGAAAATAATAAAAATGATGTCAATAAGCTACTCATGGGTTACAAAGGAGAAAACAATTGGCAAGAAGAAATCCAGCCAGCAGATACCAGGTCCTGTGATACTGCCCTCAATGATCTCATCCCAAGCCCTATGCCACCTGCACAAGTCGCAATCACAGTGCTTTTCCCTGTTAGACAATGTCCCTGCTGGCTTTCAGGACTATGCCATGGAAATAGGACAAAAATACCAAGAAAAGAAAAAAGAAAAAAATTGACCTCACTACTCTCTCTAGCTATCTAGCTCTAGTTATTGTACCAAATATTAGAGAAGAAAATATTTTTGGATTTTCTTCCACTCCTTAGAATGGGATTTCAGAGCCAACACGCAGCTAAAAAGTCATTTAGTCCACTGGTTTTCAAACGGGGCTCAGCAAACCCCCTCATCTATGGAAAAGACAGCAGGGGAGATTTCAGCAGGCTGAGCTTCTAAACTGCATGTAGTCAACCAAAGCAACTGACTTTAGTCTTTTTTCTTTTTAAATATATCTTTATTAATTTCAGAGAGAGGAAAGGAGGGGGAGAGAGAGAGATAGAAACATCAATGATGAGAGTCACTGATCGGCT